CCGGTCGGTCGGTCAAAGGCCTTTGACTGACCGTTGACCGACCGTTAACCGACTATGACCGACCGTTACCATCCCTAGTTGGGAAGAATCAGTACCACTAGTTATATTTTCTTTGAAAACAAATTAAAAGGCTTTCAATAAGTATGCTTAGAAGGTTAGGTAATTTTTTATTACAGGATATGTCATCAGCAAACATGACCTTTAATCCAGATCATGATACGAGCGAAGAAGAGAAGTGTGCAGTTATTGACGAATTTTCTATAGGCAAGAGTGAGTTTATTATATTGTCAGATACCATGGATGTTAGTTATGACTATTTTAATTACAGATTTTTTTATTATAGCCTTGCATATTGGAACATTCTCGACCGGACTGAGGATTTCCTATTAAATCTTTTTTTTCAATGGAAGACTGAAAAGAAATAACGGAAAGCTTTGAAGAGGATGTGAAATTAGTTGAATCAGATATACCGAATGTGGCTATATATTTTTTAATAAAGTAGAAAGGATTTGTAAGTGATTTATCTTGTTATAATATTTTAAAAATGTTGCTAACTAATGCACTTTTAGATAATAAAAAATGAGGATATGAAAATTATCGATGAAATCGATAAGTTGACTCCAGAAATAATAGAATATAATCAAAACATCAAGCTCATAAACAAGGATAAGAAGATTGTTACTACCATCAGACGTACTATTATTACATAGTAAGTTAATTAATGTAGATTATTTATATCTTTTTTTGTTTACTTATTTCTTCCAATTATTATCACAGCGCAGAAAACTTGAACGGACTCAAACTCCCCGTTTCAGAGTTTGACTTCAATAATGCTTTTCTGAATATGTTAATAAAGAGATTCTTAGATAAACAAAATCTCAAAATGGACAGGTTGGTATAGATAAGAATATGACTGTCTGATTTCATGTAATTAATCCTCTTTTTTCCAATTTGTAGTGGAGAAATCACATGTTAAGCTTTTTTCTGGCTTAGAAATAAAGGGCGTTCAATATTCTCCGTGCGTATATAGGCCAAAAGTGTGACTTTCGGAGATAGTGTCAATAGCCTCAAAGCTATTATCGGACTTAAGAGTGGTGGACTCCCAGTTGCCCATCACAAGAAAGTTATTGAGAATCAGATTGACCTTTCCATAGTTATACGTGACGTCTTATATAATTTTTTCAAAACAAATTCTAATGCATCTGAAAATGATCTCTATCATACATACATCCTTGGTATTCAATCATAGAGTATATGTATGGAACTAATAGCAATTAAATTTCAATCTTTTAAATAACTAATACCTTTTTTTGCTCTTATGATAAATATGGGTCCATGAAACCTATGCATAGACTGCAAAGCTACGAACGTATTACACTTAGGAAGACTTTCTCAGATTAATATGCCAAATACCATGAAAACACTCACAATTCTCAAGGGGTTCTATACACTCATATCAGACATTAATGTATTAATATATGCTTGTTATCTATTATAGTTGAAATATACAGCATCTTACTTTCATGTTTGTCTCATTTCAGTACACGTTGAGGACAATTTGCGATTATACAAACAACATCTCACTTTCTGATTCATATGCGTATAGGAATCAAAGAGGAAAAATGAGCATTATAATCAAAGTGAGCCATTTGGTGTCTCTTCAGAAGGTCCAATAAATAAGAAAGACAAGAAACGTGAAGATTAATAAATATTAGGATAATAATGAGCTAGACATTTTGTAATCTTTTAATCATGTAGTTTTAATGCTATTATTATAATAAATTACCAAATATGAGTTTTATAACATATTGTGTGGCTAGATTCTTATAAAAAATATCGATATAAAGCGTCTGTACCTCAGAAATATGTCTTGATCCTTTTGATTTGCATTAGACATAAATGCGGTAAGAGTTTATTATGGCATGAAGTGTGTATATTACTACATTTAGTAGAACGCATTCAACCTTTTGTATCACAGAAAAAATATAATATATTATGCTTATATAATTAGCTATTAATAATCGCACACGTGCAAGCATTTAAAGTTTTATGTTTACTTAATAAGACCCATTTCTCAAAGATACTGTGGAATAACTATATATAGGTCTTCATAATACCAAATATACCTCAAGGCAATCTGATTCTCTTCGCATAATTTTCTCTTGAGTTGATCTTGCGCTTGCTGTTTGATAAAAGTATTGGGATCACCATTATGGAAGAATTTGATATATTTTTCGTGTTGTACACCTTGTACTTCAATTGCAAAGCTATATTCTTGGTAATAAATATCAAGTTATAATTCTGTGGAACATTCTGGTATTTTGAGAAAATTAGGTTTGCGGATTAGTGAAGAAGAGCCAAGATATTTTGTTAAAATCTCGTGACATAGCTTTTCTCTTTGGCAAAATGTGCATCACGAATTTAAATGTTTAACATTATCAAAAGTAGCAAACCATTTATGTTTTTATCACACATCCATAATAAAGCTGAATGATTATTAATATAATATTCAGAAAGACAGGTTCCCTTTCTATTATAAGCCAATTGTTTGGCATTTTCAAGTGTATAAGGTCTATTATTTGTGTAATACAGATACCACGTCTTATTATTTTCATATTGTTAAAAGATGCATTTCACTCATGCCTTTCAGAACAATGCTATGCCATGATAAAGGTGAAAAACTATTATCATACATTTTGGAAAGACATTCTCCATTCTTATTAAGAGCAACTTTCTTAGCATCTTCAATTGTATAATTGGCCTTATTTGCACAATACAGACACCATGTCTTACCATTCTTGATATTATTAAGAGATGTAATCCACTCATGACCATCTGCACATCACCATTGCATTAAAATATTAGCATTAACATAATCAGTAGAAAGACAAAGCTCACTACATTTTTTAGCAATTATACAAGCATCATTTATTGTCAACTTTCTCATTGCAAATAGGTAATTCTTCATTAAAAAAATCAAAACTTTAAATTCAGGAGTAATGAATCTTTATGATCTTTTTTTTACTTTTCTTATAACTCTATCTCTTTTTAAAGACTAATGGAGTATTAAGTCTCAACCGAATTACCAGTGGATCATTATCTGGTTTATTTAGATCAAAAACAATAAATTCACTTTTTTGAAAATAACTATTAATAACTATAAAAGTATTTTTTACATCTTCAGTATATCATCTAATGACCTTAGAAATATATTGATAGGAATTGCTATTATTAAAGACTACTAAATATGATATATAATGATAATGTTGTATTTATACATGAAGTTAAAATGAAAACCCAAAAGTTGAAATGAAAAGTTGAAATGGTCGAAATGATATCATATCATATAATTTTTTATATATAAAAAAAAAGATATACAGTATGATCTCAGTTAATATCACTCTGATTCGTATGAAATAACTACCATTTAATTTCTCATGACTAGATGAATCCAATAAGCTAACATTTATAAATTTTGGATCAGCTCATCTCGAGATATTAGTGATCAAATTTCGAAATCTGGACTTATTTATTTAAAGTAGAATTTATTTGATTTATAATTTCAGCTGATAATACAATTAATACAATTGCACTTATCTCGAGATTGGATGATCTGAAATCAATGAATGTTAGCTCATTAGATTTGTCTAATCGTAAGGAATCAAATAGTAGTTATTTCATACGAATCAGTGTGATATTGATCAAGCTCATACATCTTTTATTTTTTTTGTTTTTTATATATAAAATCATGTGATATGACGTCATTTCAACTATTTCAACTTTTTAACCTCTAATAGACGAAATGATTTTGATCATTTTGGATATTCGAAATGATCTATTTCAACTTCATGTATAGTTGTGTTACATATATGCTTAAAATGTTTCTATACAACTTATTTTCAAAAAATTGGCTGACTTATTTTTATATATGCTTTAGAGCAAAACATAAATTCTCAAAAATAATTGTTGTGCTTCTCTCAGGCAAAAATGCTTTTATACTAAAAATTTTTTCAGGTAAGATATATTTGAAAATAATATTTCATAGTAAGATACTTTTGGGTCTTTTAAAATTATGTCATATATATGTCTTACAAATGTTCATTTTAGTTCATCAGGATGATAACTGCAAACTATCAAATCATTATATGTAACATATCTAGACCCACTTTTTTTACCTTTATATATACATTCAGCTTTATCAACAAGAAAAAGATTCACTAAAATATTAGCCTTACTAATCCACTTTTTCCTGTGATTAGCATACTAAAAGGTTAGTCTGAATTCATAGCCTTTCGCTTAAGATGATATATATTTAGTAGCTTCATCCATATCTATAAGGTAAAGTTTTATAGGAAATAATTCTATTTTTTGATTCTTCTGCATGACAGATTGGGAGTCTATAATTCTGATTTCCTTTTTTCTTTATATAATTCAGAAAAAAATAATAAAGTAAATTCTATACTTTTCAAAATCTTTAATTAAAGAAAGAGTAGTTTGATTTTTTCCTAAAATCTTGGATTGAGAAAGTGGGTATTTTATATTTCAGAATATTTTTTTCTTCATTGAAAGGTGAAATAAAAGAATATAGATGAGAGAATATGGTCTATAAGGATCATATTATTCATATTATTAGTAATAATATTATGAGAAAGGTTGCAAGCTGAAAAAAAAAAGAATTAGATGATATTGAGGTTGTTTCAAGATTTTACCTTTCTCTAGTTTACTAATACCTTCACTTATTTTATTATGCTTAAAATTGCTAGATATTTTTGAAATCTGCTCTACTAAAGAAGCATCAGCTAATAATCTCTCAAGCTAGCTCGACTTCACTTCTTGAAGAAGAAAATCTTTCTCTATCAATGTCTTTTGCATTGAAACTAAATCATCTTTCATCCGTAGTAATTTATCCTTTTTTTCAGCTAATGAAACTTCTAATTCTTCTTTCGCTAAAAATAAACCAATGTTTTTATTAGATAGTTCAAATTTATGCTTAAAAGAATCGATTTCTGATAAGTTCTCATGTGCTAAAAAAATATTCTGCTCTAATTCCTTCACCTTAGATTAGTGAGTCTGCATCTCTTCTGTCATCTTGGATTGAAGGGCTTGCATCTTTTCTAATTTTATATTGAATTTGTTCTCAGCATCTGCAAAAGAAATATCCTTACAAGTAATTTGAAGCTTGAGATCATTTATCTTTAAGTGTAACTGCTTTATCTCATCTTTAAGCTTAAAATCATTTATTTCTAATTATAACTGTATTAACTCTTTCCTGAGCTGATGTACCTGATTAAAAAGTTTATTTTTTATTTTTTAGATTTATTAAAATCATTCTGTATATGCTTATTTTCTTTTTTGATTGATTAAAGTCATTCTTTATATGCTTATTTTTTCTATCCAAGACATGCAAACTAACTCACCTAATATATAGCAACTTCATAATCTTTTTTTATACAAGAAAGTTGATCTTTAAGCTCTGTTCAGCTAGTAAAATAATAATTATCTAAAGAATTCCCAAGTTTATTTATTATCCAAATCTTTTAAGGTATGGATCTGGGATTTTTTATTGGTATTTTTTTATTTTAAACAAAAAAAAATTCAGCTAGAAGCCTTAAACTTATAAGAAAGCAGATTATTTTTTTGGCAAATCTAATGCCTATTGATATTTATTGAAAAAAAAAGCACTAATACATACTGAAAAGTACTGATACTTATTCATACTTATTGATATGAATTGAAAAAGAATACTAAATATATATTGAAGGATATGATATGTATTGAAAAGCACTAGCTTATATTGAAAGGTACTGATATGTATTAAATCACCAGAAATATTGATACACATTGAAAAAATTATTAGTAGATTTTTTGCATATATAGATAAATGCTAGGAAAAAGGACTAAATTGACAAAAAAATTTTTTAAAATAACAAATGATCTGAATAAGATAAACAAATCTACATTTATTTTACTTAGGAACTTTTTTTTAAAATAAAAATCAAATTAATCAATTTTTCCAGCACTCATCCCATATATTCTAACTAAAAAATAATCACCTATTTCCATGAAAAATTTTATTGATCTAATGTAACTCACTTGTTAGAGTCTAATATTAAAGAAATTAGAGAATCAAAAGGTAAGATACCTAATGCATCAAAAAAAATAGCTGAAAAATTCTATATAGGTCCTAAGCATATTTATGAGATATAGAATAATAAAGAATGTCTTCAGCAAAGAGATCATTTCATCTCAGCCTGTTTTGTATGAAAATCCCTAGACTGATAAGTTAAAATAGAATCTTGAAGTATTATCAGAAGTAGAATCTATGCCTACTCTAACTATAAAGATTTCAAAAAAGAATAGTTGAAAAAAGAAGGCTCCTCTTGAATCAGAAATAAAACAAGAAAAAATGAGAACAAAGTTGACGTATCTCAAGAAAAAAGGTTGGGATCTCTTCTTGAAAACTTAGTCAATCATGATGAAAAGCTTAAAAATTAAAAAGTTAATACTTCTGATATTTTTTTCTACATAAAGATTTATATGTATCAGCAAAAAACTTAATACTAAATCAAGCTATTTTTCAAGCTTCGTGTAGTTTATGTACTTTTTTTAAGTCCTTCTTATTAGTTAGATTAGAGGAATTAGTAGAGACCTAAGATGATGATTTATGCTTTTTTTTTGATGAATCATTTATTTCTGGTGTCTTGC